GATGGGGTTCTGCATTTCTCCAAGCTGCTTCCTACCAGGCCCCATCCCATCCCATCCCATCCTGTCCCCCTGTATGGCCACCTCCTGTTCCACCGGATTCTAGTCTCCTGGCTCTGAGACCACCAGGAGTCTCAGTGGCAAAACGGCGGTCACTTGGAGCTAAACAGGTGTGGTTCCAATCCCAGCTCCATTTGTTTCTAGTTATGGGGACCTTGGGCATCAGTTACCCTCACTTTTCCCTCTGTAAAATGAGTCTATTCATCTACCATGGGGCTTAGAAGAAATAACCAAGTGCTAAATACGGCCACTCACGGTCCTTTGGTGACTATTCATCCCTGCCCTGCCTCTGTTCCCAACCACAGCCCTGTTGACATTTTGGGTAGATCATTCTTAATGTGCATTTTGTAATTAATTTAGCTGCATCCCTAGCTTCTACCCACTAGATGCCAGCAGCACTCTCAGTTGTGACAACCCAAAATGTCCCCAGACATTGCTAAGTATCCCATGGGGTATAAAAGTGTGATGATCAAGGTCAAGCAAGTCTCCAAGAGACAACCTGGTGACAGAAGGCATTGCCTTCCGTGATCTGTGCTCCCCCTATAAGCTTCTAGAACTTGCACAAACCTTATCCCATCTGTAAAATGGGTATGATAATAACCCAAGGAAAGGCTGGTGGAATCACTGGGTGACTGCCACATGACCGTGTTTGTAAGTCAAGTGTTATTTGAATCTGAGGCCTCATTACCATCTGGAACAGTGGCCCCCGAGGACAGGAATTTGGTCGGGCCCATGTGTTCTCTGCAGTCCTAAGATGCAGCATCCAGGTGAATGGAGGAAATGGGCCCTGCAGGAGGGACTGAGGATCCAGCATGCTGCCTGGGGCCTGCTGAACTGGGCTGAGGGCCCATGACTCCTTCAGCTCTAAAAGTCAATAAAATTGATTTGTCCATGGCCCTTTGACCCCTGAAGCAAGGCTGTCACCAGAAGATGGTCTCAAACTAGAGTGTGCGTGAATCCCATTCCAGAGGTCAGGGGGGCTCGGGGTTTCCCCCTATAATCTCACTCAGTACTCAACCACCTGCATGTCTTAGAATCTCTGCAAGTGCCCAGGACAGGCCCCCCAGGGGGTGAGCTGACCTCCCAGCAGGCTCAGCCTCCCCCACTTCTCCCAAGGGGCAGAGGGGTGTCAGTGGTAGGCCAGGGTCCAACACCATGCGTCAGAGGCCAGTGCCTTGGGCTGGCCCCGTGGCTGGGCAACTCTCCCTGTGTCAAGGACAGGCTTTCTGGGTTGCTGAATTTGTTGTATTGGTTTTGAGAAAACAGAGCCCCAGGGCCATCATGTGTTAGGAACAAAGGCTCTGCTGTGGAGGCCACAAGGAGAGGGCTTTGGGTCTGACATCCTCAGATACAAAGGCCCCTCAGGCTCCATTTTCACTGCCAGATCCTCTTTGCAAATCAAGCTTTACTAAGGCAGAGCCCAGGCCTAGCAGGACCTCTGTAAATTTGGATTTTAAATAGAGTTCTGGAAACTTCTTAGCTATCTCTAAGTTTCCCCCAAATCCTCAGTTTCATGTAAAACCCTGACTATTTAAACCTGCTGAGGAGACACCTCTGCCAGATTCCAAGGCCCCAGAGACTCAGCAAGGCCCTGGAGCCTCCGAGCCTCCTTAGTTCTGCTCCTTTAGCAGGAACGTCCCAGTCTCCATGGGAACACACCTCTGAGGATGCAGTTTAAGAACGCTACTGTTTTTTTCCCCCTATTTGAAAGCCCTAATTAAACTAATTTGGCTTCTTAATAGCTTCATTTGCAACTACTGTTTTGCCCCAAGTCGTACTTAGGGTTCAAAAACAATCAGCTGCGGCCCCCCAACAGCAGCTGTGAACTGTCGCCCCCGCCTCCGCATACACACCCGGGCTCTCCGGGCTGCAGGAGACGTGGGAGGAAAGCCACAGGGAATCGGGCAGCAGCCTGGGCAGCTGCGTGTCACTAGGCTGAGGGATTTGACCCCTCCAGGGTCACAGTATGAGTTCAGACCCTCTGATTTCCAGGCACCTTCAGCCTTCTCCTTAACCGACAACTCGTCTGGCAGGAAGCTGGCCACTCACAGGGGCAAATTGGCTTCCCCATTTTCCACTTTATCATTGTCTTTACTCAGTCACCATCTTTCCAGGCATTTGTGGAGATTTCCAGAATCAGTGGGTAGAAAAGGGTCCCTTGGATGGGGCCATTGCCCGTTCCTCTCTGATGTTGTTGCCTAAAATCCACGGCAAGATAGAAGGGGATTAGGGGAGGGGGGTGCAAGGGGTCCTGATGAGAAGTCCTTCCCACCTCTGGTCCACATGCTCTTGTCCTGCCCGTGTCCGGCCCTTGGCCTGGGCACTTGGTGTGACTCTTTCCCAATGGCAGCACAGAATATTGAGCATCTTCTCCTTCCTTGTTCTTTGCCTCCTATGATGTTCCATTTGTCTTGACCCCTCAGCCCGGGAGGTCTGACTGAACACAGAGTGTCCCCAGAGGCCTGACCAACCAACCTGCTGCTCTCTCCAGGCGCCCAGCTGCTGTCCCCACAGGTGAGGTGACTACGGCTGATTCACAAGGAGGTTTATGCTCACCCCAGCTCTTCTTCCTACAAGATGTGAGGTCCCCTGGCACCCCCAGCAATCACCCATGCTATCATTTGGGTATAAGTACATTCCTTATAAAACGTATCCTGTTACCTCAGGCTATAAGATCTATAGATATTTTTCAATCCTTATTTTATTTGCCAAACAATTGGTCATCTATATGCTATTTATTATTTACTTATTTAAATTATGGGAAAATAAATTCAGCTTCTTCAGCATTTTTAAGTGTACAGTGGTGCTAGGCAGCTTCACATTGTTGTGTAAATAATCTCCAGAACTCTCTGCAGTTGCAAAATTGAAACTTTGTACCCATTAAACAAGAACTCCCCATTCCACCTCCTCTTAGATTCCAGCAGCTTCTGTTCTACTTTGTGACTCTGAATTTGACCCTTCTATGTACCTCACAGAAGTGAAATCAGAGGGTATTTGTCCTTTTGTGACCTGCTTATTTCACTTAGCGTAATGTTCTCGGGGTTCAGCTGGATTGTAGCATGTGTCAGAACTTTCTTCTTAGAGTGGATAGTCCCCATCATACAAACCTACCACATTTTGCTTCTCTATTAATTTGTCAATGGACACTGGGTTGTTCCTACCTCATTGGCTAGTGTGGATACTGCTGCTGTGAACACCTTTTTGCAAGTGTCTCTTTTGGGAACTTGATTTCAACTCTTTGGGGTGTACAACTAGAAATGGAACTGCTGGATCTTTGGGGATTTTTATTTTTTGAGGGATCTCTATACCGTTTCAACAGTGGCTCCATTTTACATTCCCACCACTAGTGCACAGGGATTCCAATTTCTCCACATCCTCACCAACACTCGTTATTCTGTTTTTTATTTGAGTTTAGTAGCTCTCCTAATGAGTATTAAGTGATGTTTCATTGTGGCTGTGATTTTGCAACTGCAGAGAGTTCTGTGATTTACATTTATCTGATGATTAGTGATGTTGAACATCTATTGATATATCTGTTGGCCATCTGTATTTCTTTTTTTGAAGAGATGTCTATTGAAGCCTTGTGTCCATTTATGAATCAGGTTGTTAGTTTTCTATTGTGTTCACCTTCTTTTGTTCATCCAAGTCTTTGATAAAAATGTAGGACTGGTGGGTCTGAGACAGAGCCCTGTAGCATAGCAGAAAAACAATGCTCTGGTTTCCTGGAGTTGCACAAACCATCTCCAACTCAGACCCCCTGGTGGGGCTCTGAGTCTGGGTAGTTTCCTCATTGACCTGGGACAGAAGACTCTAAGAGGCCCAGTTCTCTGGAGACTTCCCACTGTCTCAGGCTTTCTCTCCTGAGAAGGAGGAGTTTGGTTTGCTCTTGGCAGACTGGGGGAGGAGATAAGGGAGTTGACTTCCCTTGTGTCCTTTACCCTGCGATAAGAGTGAGGTTAGCATCTGGGACCCGGGACCTGGTCTAGGTTGCTTTGAGGAAGATGCTTCATCATTCTAAGCTTTGTTGCTTTATTTATAAAATGGGATACAGTGCTTCCCTCACAGGCTGGTTGAGAGACCAGAATCATTATTAGGGAAGTGGACAGGAGTCTCACACCTTCCTCCGACCTTGCCGAGAGGGGCACTTGCTGCCCCATGTGTTTTATCTTGGATTTTGACGTCTCTTCTTTGGGGCTTTTTCCTTTCCACGGCTGAGACCCAAGCCTGGGTGCTCCTCTTCTCCATCGGAGCATCTGAGCCCGCCTGAGAGCTCGGCAGACTGCTTTAGAGATGCCTTCTCTTGGCTTCCTCATGGCGGGTATTTGTGGGTAGAGTGACAGTGGTATCTTTAGAAGGCTTCCCAACTCTCCCTGGCTGAGTCTCCACCTTTGCAGGAAGCCAATGTTTTTCTCGCACTTGAAAGAACTCAGTCTTCTGGAAGCCAAGTGCCCATGTCCAACTCTGCCCAGACTTTCCAGTTATCATAAAATTTAAAGTGAAAGGAGTCACTCCCACAACCCTTGTCTCTTTCACTCTGCCAGCCCTTTCCACCTTGTTGGGCAGAATTGGGTCCGGAGAAAAGAGGAATCAGGAGAAGATGCTAGAAAGGTCCACTGAAACTGGAGGGAGGAGAATTCTGGGAGGCAAGGAGGAACCACGGAGGGTTCTAAGCAGCCTTGGAAGAGACATCATCTCCCAAGTGCAAGGAATGAAGAGGAGACAGATGGTTAGAGGTGGCAGGTGGGGGAAAATTGGGAGGGAAGGACAGTCCTGAGACCCTGTGATGCCACTCCTGAGACCCAGGAGGATGGAGGTGCTGTTGACACAGACGACAACACCTGGGCTGCTGAGTTGGCTGAGACGGTGCAGTGCAGGGAAGGTGGGTGGGGTGGGGCGGTGATGGGAAACAAGGGACTCAAGTTATTTTTTGCAAGTTTTTATCAGGATAAAATTCATATGCAACACAATTTTAAAGTGTACAATTCATTGGGTTTCAGTATTTACAATGTGGGGTAACCATCACCACTGTCTAGTTCCAGAAATAGTTCTGTCCTCCTCCCTCCCCCAAAAGCAGCACCTGTTGCTGGGCAATGCTAAGTCTCCCTCCCTCCTACCTCCCAGCCCTTGGCAACCACTAATCTTGATGGCTTTGCCTGCTGTGGACGCGGCATATAGACAGAGACCACTTAGCATCATGTTTTCAAGATTCATCCACGTAGTAGGATGCAGGAGAACTTCATTCTGTTTTCTATGAAACTGTCCCATAAACCTGAATATAGTGACCCAAACTTCCCATTTCCCAGGGATCAAAAGAACTCTCCACCCCAATCCCAGAGAATCAGGCTGCCTTGCAAACCTCCTGCCCTCCAAGGAAAGACGTCCAGCTCCTGCCGTGGGGCCTGGGCCTCAGCTCTTGTCTTTTCTGACAGTTGGGTCCAGGAGTAGGATCAGAGGGGTTATCGGGAGGAACAGAGACAGGGGTGTCCAAGGTTTCCAGGAAGCTGCCACCCTGGAGGCAAGATACAGCAAGTAGGATGAGGGTCAGGAAGCACACAGGGACCCAGGACAGGTCTAGGTGCAGGCAGACACCTGCAACCGGCCAAGAGGTCCAGGTGGGCCATGAAGGCGGCCATTGGGCCCCTGATGGGAATATGATTTTGGAGTGGAATCTAACTCAGGTGGGCACGCACATGCCTGCCAGTCTTAGGTGGGTTCGAACAACAGAGGAGGATCCTTAGGGGAAGCCCACAAAAACCAAAGCAGGTAATACCCTTATAAATCATACCTCAGGGTGGCAGAGCCATAAAACACTCCAGGGATTATCGCATTTGACCTCTTGATTCCATGGAGAAGAAATCAATGCCCCTGGAGACCAATGTATTGTCCACCAAACACGCTGAGCAGAGGCCAAGTGCCAGTCTGAAGCGCTCTCTGCTCCGCCAGGGTTTTTCAGCATCATCAGCCACAGTCCCCCTCTACATGACAAATATTTTGTAATGCCATCTTGACTATCTTGGTATTACATTTATAGATAATATAACCTGCCTATATACATAATAAAAAATCAATATAATGCCCTACATGTAATATAAGGGAGACTACAAGGGAAGTCATTTATAATGAAGTAGTTCAATAAGTAAATAGCAGGCACAGCTACAGTGGCATGAATGCTGCGGCTGCAGACGCAGACAGATGGAAACTTGTTACACTGGTGACTTCAATATCCTAAGTGTTGTCGCCATGGATTGTGTGATTTTTCTGAAACGGTAAACAACAAACACTTGGTAAAGTTGCAGCCAATACAAATTACACTCTTCTTTCTGTAGGGAAATTTGAGCCCAAGTTGGAGCCTGTATTACTGTAGGAGGTGGGGATGGGGAGATGATGCTTCCCCCAGGGGGTGCCATCTTTGGGAGGTGGGGGGCCCGTGGGAGATGTAGTGAAGTGGAGAGAGCCACACCCACTGGGTGTTGCAGGGGCTGCTGCTGGACACACTGATGTGGTAAGTGAGCAGCCATGGTCATACAGCAGGTCTCTGTCAGTCCCTGGGGACTTTAGAAGAGTCCACCGGGAGAGGAAAGGGACTGGAGATCTAGATGCCCATGGTCCAAAGTTCATTCCATGAGGAGGTAGCACTGCTGCTCTTCTGAGTTATGTCATTTGGTGCCTTGGGTCACTGCTAAGGAGCCAGACTGCAGACTCTCCAGAGTGACCTGTCTGAAAGCAACAGCAAAATCCTAAGACCCGGGGCACAGGGTGCACCGGCTGGGACAGTGTCACCACCATGCCTGGCAGAGGCAGATGGATCAGGAGGCTGAGGGCCCAGGAGGCCCTGGAGCTGCATCTGGTGCAACGTGGTAGTGGCCTTCCTGGGAGACTCAGTTACGTGAGAAGCTTAACAACATTGTGTTTGTGTTTTAAATAAAAGAGTTATTTCAGACTCAAATAATTTATAAAGCCAGTTTTAAACCCACTCCAATGCTTATCAAAACATCTGACAGTCACATGGAACACAGGACAATTATTAATTCTATAAGACTGCCCCTTAGATTATAGGACAATGATAACTGATGTTGCATAAGTTGCAGGCCCTGGAACTTTGTAAGGATTCCAAAGCCCCCATGTGCGGATTAACTCACCACATGTGCACAACATCTTAGGAAGCAGGCACCACTATTATCTCCATTTTATAGATGAGGAAACTGAGGCCAGAGGCATTCACATGATTAGCAATAGAATAGGGATTGGAAAACAGGCATCTGGCTCTCCAATAGCTTCTGGAGAGCATTCTCTAAATGCCAGTGGTGTCTCCCCCAATCATGGTGATAAGGAAAACGCTTCCACACACACACACACACGCGCACACACGCTCATGCACACATACCATAGGACCTGCAACACACTATTCATGGACACACAGCCTCCAAGGAGCTAAGCTGCTCAGGTGAACTCCAGGTTTACTGACCTGAGCAGGATGTGGATGGGGTAGCGTGGAAGGGGCCCTGCAGGAAAGGGATGGATGAAGCCAAGAACTTGACACTCCTGAGAAATCACGTTCTTCTGGACAGGGAGACTGGCTGGGCCGTCTGGCTGAAGCAGAAGCTGAAGATTTTCAGGAATTTTAACTGTCATCACCCAGACTCTGGGCTGCCACCAGAAAAAATAAAAAAGACAAAACCCAAACCCCAAACCAAACTGATCTCCTGCTTCTCTTTTTGTACAACTCAGTCATTGCCCTCTGTGACCAAAGCCACCGGGCTGTCATCAGGTCCATGCTGCTCCTTCTGGGTCAGTTGGAGCCCATCTGAATCTCGATTCCAAACACACCCGCTGCGGAGCACGCCTGGCGGCAGTGGCTGCGCAGAGCCCCAGGGGCGGGTTTCCCCCCACAGAGCTTCTGACAGGCAAATGCACGGGAAATCTAGCTCCCAGCATCCTGGCGGGTGGTCTCAGATCTTCCAAACCGCCAGGTGAGTGGTGCCCAGGCCAGTGGAAGTAGGTTGGGGGTTGGTGGTAAGGGGGTCTGCCAAATAAGCTCTGGAATCCACAGCTGGCGCAGCCTCTGGCTCTGGGGGGAGAGGGATCCTGCTTTGTTCTGGGACCAAGAGTTGTTTTCTGTTTTCTAAACCAGCCAAGATATCTCTGAGATGGCCACCCTCTTACTCCTGTGATAAGTAAAGGAACAATAGTAATGATAATGGCACCTACTATGTCCCGTACAAGGTGCTTAGCACTTTGTATGTATTAACATGTATACCGCCCCTGCACTGTGTATGTTTATCATCAGCCACACCCACTTCACAGATGAGGCAAAGTGATCTGCCCAGAGTTGTGCATCCAGCAGACTTCTGGCTGTGTGTTTCTTACTCTTGGATGGAGCTTCGGGACTCCTCTCCTAGACAGAGCACAGTATATCAAGTTGGGCAGCCAGTGCTTAAGACTAACGCTCTTTTTTAGTTGATCAGCCTGTTGGGGCCCTGGCTTCCATGCTTCCATACCCGCCCTGCACCTGGGCTCACTCTCCTGCTGACATCAGCCTGGGTCTCAGGACTCTAGTTCTTCAGAGGATACCAGAGCATGTCTGAGTCCCCCGTAGCACTGTCTCCAGCTGACTTTGCTTCCCTCCACTCCACTGTGGGCCTTTGGGTCTCCTTGACCTCCTTTATTCCTGAGTTCACCCCTGGGCCTCTCCTCCCAACCTACTAGGTCTTGGTACCTGCTCCTCTTCCTTCTCTGGATTCCAATGCACCAACACTACTCTTGGCCCTGGAATAACAAATCTGGCCTGTCTTGGATTTCCTTGACATTGGACATGCCAGGGGAGATGGTTAATGACATATGACTAATAAAGGGCACTGATTCTCTGGGTAAAATGAGCACTATTTAATTCCATGCCAACCCATGATGACAAGAGATAAAAAAGAAGGCAGGTTTGTCTTTAGAATCAGGGATGTCCCTATATATTTGCCCTTGAAATTCTGGCATTAAGGAATTCCAGGCCTCAGTGGTGGACCGGGGACCCTCTCTTCCTGCTCCTGATGGTGGTGGGGTCTCTGGGAGGCAAGCACCGCCAGCCTTGGCTCTGGCCCAGGTGTGCAGGGTGTGGGCATAGAAGTGGTGCAGCCCCAGCTACGCCCAGACCCTGCAGCGCTCCGTGCACCGCTGCCCAGGAGCCCAAGAGCCCCAGCAGCCCTTTGTCACTTGCTGCCCAATGTGCATTCTCCAGTGGGCACAGCAGGCGATCCTGCTGCAGGGCCTCTGCCCGAGCCTGGGATTATGGGCCTGCCTGCAGCGGCAGATGGTAGCGCTTAGAGCTAAACTGCACTCGGCTGCTTTGAACATCTTGAAAAGATTTCTTTAGAAGTTAAACTTGGCCTGGGAGTGACAATATGGTTCAGTCTGTGGCTTTGAAAAGGCCTCCGGTGGGGCGGGTGGGGTGTTTCATGTCTCCCCGCCTCCCTTCGGCTCTTGTTCTGGGACCTGTTTTTCATGTGTCCCCTGGCCATTGCAGCTCCTGTATGTCAGCCCCATTGTTTGGGAGTCACACTTGCTTCTGGTGCCTGGGCTGCAGGAAGGCCACTGTAGCTGTGTTGGGCTGCCCCACAGGGTGCATTTAGATGCCCCTGGGCAGTAGCACAGGCCCGCATCTTTTTGGTACCCACAAGTCAGGAGCATGTCTGTGCCCCGGAGCTGTTTTTCTGTTGCCCCTGCGTTAGTCCATTGAGGGGCTGCTGGGGCAGAGGTTTGGGTCCCAAACCCTTTGGCACCAGCCTGGACCAACCGACAGCTTCCTGAATCCTGGAACGCCTGGCTAATTGCCCTGGAATAATACCCTCCAAATCTCTATCCTAGGTTTGTCCTACTTTACGAATCCATCCAGGGACAAAGGGTTAGATCATCTCTGGGCTCAGACAGCGTCTCCCCTTCCCCACCCCGCCATTTTCCTGCCCTTGATTTGGCCATTCTAGACCCCATCAGGGAAGACCCAACCTGCCCCACAAGGAAGCCCCCAGAAAAGTGCCACCAGGGAGAGAGGTCTTTCAATTGGCAGAAAAGAAGCACCACCGCGCTCTGCTCCTGGCCAGGCTGGCCACTGTCTCTCGCAGGAGCTTCAGCGGCAGGAGCAGGCTGCATTGCCCATTCATGAGACGTCAGGTGGTCTACAGATGGGAACACTGGCTATTGATTTTTACTAGCCTGCTAAAACTGAAAGGAAAAAATCCTTCTTAAAAGCTCCCGGTGAAGCTTTGTTTCCTAAATGATGATTCCAGGGCTCCAAGTTTGTCAAAGGCAAATTTAAAATATTGGGGCTGTTGGAGATATAATAAAATGAAATCTTCTTACAGCCATTAACTTCAGAGAGGAGCAGATCTCTGCTCAGGTTTGGGGGCTGAGGGGGAGGGGGCGAGACCTACTGAGGGGGAGGGGAAACGAAGCCAAGAACAAAACCCACAGCTCCGCCCCTGCCGCTGCACGCAGCTCCTCTGATAAGATCCGATGTGGATATGAAGAAATGATTTCAAAGGGCTCCAAATTGACAACAGTTCCCTGGCTAAGCTACTACAGGGAGTGCAGTGGGGGTGTCAGCCCGATGGGCTCCTGACTTGACAATGGGAAAAATTAGGATGAGCTCAGGGGGAGGAAGATGGAGAGAGGAGGCCCCCATCAACCCACCCGGTTACTTATTTAGATGTTGTTCTCTTGTCTGTCTTCCCAACAGTGAGGATTCCTCCTGCTCTGCACCCTCTCGGGCACAGTCACATCTGCAGAGGTACCTGTACTTCCGAAGGGCTTGCTGGGACTTAGGCAGTTCTTGGTGCCATCTTGAAGCTCAAATGCGCCCGTTGGGTCGATTTTTCAAAGAATATTTCACATTAGGTAAGGCCTCAAGATGCCCCAGCAAATCCACCAAAGGGCGTGACTCATGAGGTGGCTCTTAGAAATGAGTGTTCTGCCTTGTGACTGAGCCAACTGTATCCTTAGTGTGTGTGTATGTGTGTGAACGCATGTAATGAGTATGTACATGTGCATGTGTTTGCGTGCATGTGTGCATAAGTGTGCACGTGTGTGCACATGTGTTCACATGCATGCATGTGCAACCATCTCTCTCTGCCTGTTGAATCAAGATGGGAGTGCCATTTTCTGGTTCTGACTCCCTTCCAAACTGCACAGTGTCACTGCGGCATTGTAGACAATACATTGATCAATTGATTGACTTTTTGAAATTAAAAGAGCAAGGAACTGGGAGTCATGAGCCCTGGGATCTGACCAATGGATCGATCAACAGATAGCTATTGAGCCTAGGAAAGCACTGGTCCGGGTACCATGGAGGATTCAGACAAACAAAAAATATACTCTCTCTCCCAGGGTAACAAAAATGTGCTGGGAGTCACCAATTTCTATTGGGTCCTCAGACTATAGGTCCTGAGATCTTTGGGGTTGGACAAGAATTTGGGAATCCTCTGGTTCCAATCTCTTATTTTGTGGACGAGAAACCCAAAGCTCAAGGAGCTGAGCTGACTCATGTCGACCCACTGACAGGTCTGCTTTTCCTAAGAGATACCCAAGTTACCAGCGGATCCAGGCAAGTCAGACCTACCCATCTTCAGGCTTTCTCTTCTGTCAGGTGGGTGGGGCAATGGCTGGAAAGTACTGAGAAACTCAGCAAAAATGACCTTGGTCACCTCCTTTAGTCCATTCATAGCAGAGGCCATTTGTACAATGATCACACAGCAACGAGCTATTATCCAGGAATAATGCAATTCCAGGTGCTTTGCCAAGGGCTCTATCTTTATCATCAGTTTTAATTCTTGGAATGGCTTCATGAAGTAAATACTGGTGAGGACACTAGAACTTAGAGAGGTGACATGACTTGCCCTTGGACACACTGCACGCTGATGGTGTCAGGATTTGCATATGAACACCAGGTTCAGTGGTCAAAGTGCAAAAACTTCAGCAACCTAGTTGTGTTTGTTTCCCTGTTCCCAAGGATTGTCTGGCATTTATTTAGTGCTAAAACACCCAACGACTTCAATGTAGACAAAATATGGGCCAGTACCCATTTATAAAGCTGAGATTCAGTGACTGATATAGGGACTAACCTTATTTTATTAAGGGCTGGCAGCATGTTGCCAGACTTGATAAGTATATGGGGAAACGGGCTGTAATTAAGTCTGTGGAACAGCAGGCTAACACAGAAGGCTAGATTACCAGGCTTGTGGTTTGAGAGAATCCTTCCTCTCATCTCCCAGAAAGACAAGTGGTTTTTTTTTTCCCATTTTAGAAATTTTTAAAGAAACAGATTAAGATTCTAATTGCCTATCACATGCCTGGCAAACAATTTCAAGTGAAAATCAAATTCCTTTCTTTTGTAGCAATGAAGTCTGCTTATGGTCAGGAGGGGTTGACTTTCAGACACCAGGTGACCAGTCGGAAAGATGCCCATACACCTGGCACTTCCCCCACGGTAGTTTTGGAAGAAGCATGACATCACGATTGAGTTTGATGTTGGACCTGCTTTTGGTTTGTCTTGACCTCTTCAGGAATAATCCAGCATTACCTACGAGGAAATACTCGCAGAAAGAGCAAAAGGAAGTTAGCCGATCTGTGAGCAAACCGGTCTTACTCGGGCTCCATTTTGAGAAAGTGTAACAGAGGCTCTAGGAAATTCAAGGGCAACCTTTCTACACCCTTCTCTTCTCTGCCCCTGCCCCTGCCCTTCAATGAGGCTGTTTGGTTAGTCTCTGACCGTAACCACGGTAACCAGCCTGTGCAGAAAGGACACTTCTTGGTCCAATCTCTAAAAGAAGATGGACACTCTGCAAGGGTTAACCCCAGAGGGGACCCTGGTGACCAGAGGTGCAGAATCTCCCTCTCCAGAGCTATTGGGGCCAACTGACAACTGCAAGGCTGAAAGTGTCACCGAGAGACAGAGGAGGACAGGGCCCTATAGATAGGTTTTTATCACTTTGGTGAACACTTCCAATTCCAGGCATGAGTCCTGAGGCTGTGTCTGGCCATCAGTGGTTTCCTTTGTTGATTTACATGGATGCATATTGTAGCTGGCTTCCAAAGCACATCATTTGGGTCAAGGGGTTGTTTTTGTTCCTGAGGAATTCTTGAGGGAATGTAGGAGGATGCAGACATCCGGGGAGTGCACCCCTGTCCAAGTCTCATCAGTTGTGGGCGGGGGTGGGGTGGTGGGCAGCATCTGTGTTCTCACAGGCCAGGGACAGGCAGCAGGCGGGTGACTGCTGCACTCCCCATCCTGGCCTGGCCCCATGCTCTGGGCAGCCTACCTCGGCCTCTGCAGTATTGACATTTTGGGTAAATTGGTTTTTGTTGTGAGGGGTGCTGGACACGCATCCTCCCAGGCTGGGCATCTACATACCAGATACCAGTAGCAGTCCTTCCCCTGGCCTTAATAACCAAAAATGTCCCCAGACATTGCCAAATTGAAAACCATTGGCTCCGTGTAGCCAGAGAGTCAACTCACCTAGATTTGCCACATGCTGGGAGAGCTCCCAGAGCTTAGGGTGGTTCCTGGAGATTCAAAGGTACGTGGGGCTGGGAGAGAGGATGAAGTTGGGCCAGAATCGCCCTCTAGAAGAAAAATAATCAAGTTAGCCAACCCTCTGCAGATCCCCCAGTAACCCAGCACTTCACGGTTAGGATCTCATGCAATTTCCACAACAGCCCCATTGGAGAGTGATTCTCATTCTTCTCCTTTTGCAAATAAGGAAACTGAGGGCCAGAGAAGTTAAACAATCTGTCTGCAGCCAAGGACTAGTTAGAAGCAAAACTGGGATTCAAGCCTGGGTCTTGCTGGCACCACTAGATGTTTAAGAGCTACGAGAAGTCGGGAGGAGCCCTGCTCCCACACACGGCCCCCTGGCTTTGATTACCTTTTCCGCAGCAGTGCCCACTGTCGGGGGTGCCTCTGGCCTGCTGCCTGCGTGACAACGCTCACAGGAAACAAAGAATGGCCCTGCTTGGCGGCACCTGACTTGGGCAATGCTCACCCCCTCCTGGAGGCACACCAAGAACCTTCCTTGGGGACACAGGGCAGAATCTGGCAAGTCCCAGGTGGCACTGACCTTCCCAGCCCGGTACTTTCTCAGCCTGCCATGTTGCCCTGGGAAAACCGTGGCTTTGTACAAAGATGCCGCTCCTGTGTGCTGCTTTACCCTCCCCCACCGTGTTTACTAAACAAAGCTGCTGCACAGATTCGGGGCCTCCAGGGAACGTGGCAAGGTGGAAGGCCAGGGGTCAAGGAGCAGGGTCAAAGGGCTGGGGCCCCCCGGGAAAACGGGAGATTAAACATCCTCCTTTTCAAATCGGGAGGTTTGGATAATTAATTGGTCTCTGAACATGAAAGCTCTCACTGATGGTTCTGGGCGGCGGCAGCCACTGGGTCTCGCTCCTCATTCTTTCTGCCCTGAGCCCTTTCTGTAGCACCCACGCAGGCTAGGGCCCCGGGAGGCTTTGCTGGTGCTGGGCCCACATGGTCCTGTCCTCTCCAGTTCAGCAGAAGTTGGTGTCTCATGGAGAAGGTGGACCCTGAGGGACCTGGCCGCCTGAGAGAGCCAGGAGAGTTGGGGAGGGGTTTGCCCCCATGCGGGGCCACCCTGGAATCTCTGGTCCGGAGGAAGCAGCGGGGTGGTCCTGCCTCTGGTTTGCTCCTTTCCACCTGCAGAACAGGAGACATCAGGGTGACCAGTGCGGGTGGGGTGACAGCCTGCCTGTGGGAAAGTGAGATTCGTTCCTTGAAGTCTTTTAAAATCCCCCTTGGAACCCATCCCCCACCCCTACTGTGACAAGCACCACAAGCATGAAGACACACCAGTCGGTCCACAGGGATTCACCAGCTGCCACAGGGACCTTGCTCATCAGCGTGACCTCATTTTACAGATGAGAAGACGGAGGCTTCTTGGGAACAGGATAGTGGAGCTGGGTCTCTGCCCCAGGGCTCCTGCCTGCATTGTCATTCCCTGGGGGTTGGGGGAGACCCTGAGCAGGCAGCTTCTCTACCCTGGAGAGCAACTTGCTAGGTCCTGGGAGTAGCCATTTAGGGCAGGACCGGGCTGGGCTGAGGCCACCTCTAGTACAGTCAGGATCTCACAAGAAAGTCCTAAGAGGCCTGTGCTGGTGACACCTTGGGCAAGGATGGAGCAGAAAGTAAGGGGACAGGCTCCAGGTGGGGGTGGGCTGGGGGACACCCTGAGTGGCTGCTAAGTGCCCTAGAAAACGAAGCTTAAAGGGCTCTTAGCTTCCCTTTCTTCTTTCCTGAAAGAATCAATCGGGTTGCTCTGTCTTTGTGTGTGTGACGGGCCTGCTGTGAAGTACACTTAAGGAATCAAGTTTTCTAAAATTCTATAAATCATTACTCTAGCCTTCTCCCCTCCCCCTCAAAATCATTCATCTGCTGAAATATTTAGCGATGGGCTGTCTGGTGTGCACCCGCCGTCGGCCGGTGAGAGGGGCGGTGGGCAGGAGAGCCTGCAGGGGTATCCCTGTGGCCTCCTGTCTGCTTTCTATGGACTGTCATCGCAGTGGCCTTTTGGTCCCCTGATCTCTCGTGATTAGGTAGCAGAAACCAAGTCACATGGTGGGGATTCCTCAGCCCCTCTCAGAGGACTGCAGAGAGGACAAAGAGGGAGTCCCTGGAGGGTACTGAGGGAGCAGGCCAGCAACTCCCCTGGGGGTTGCATTGAGGCCAGTGAGGAACAGGGGTGGTTGGATGCATGGGGCAGGGAGGCAGCTGGCAATGGAGGGAGGATGAGACCCCAGGAATTCCTGCTGCCCATCAGCACTGTGGGCCCGCTCAGCCAGGGTCTGCAGGAGCAGTGGTGGCTGAGGGTCTCAGGTGTCCTGTGGATTGTGAGCTGGGCAGGAGAGATGGAAAGCACTGGCCTTTCCATGGATTCAGTTCTTTGGCAGTGAGGGCTTGGGCCTGCTTCTTCTAGCCTGGCTGGAAGCTCGGGCACTTTCTAGAATTTTCCATCCCTTACCCCCTGTACACACAAACCCTGACACATGACAGTGCTGACTTAATAGCCACAGTGAATGTCCCTGAAAGGCAGGCAAGACCTGATTGATTCACCGTGGTTGATCTGTTTAATGTCCCTTCTCCCCAAGCGCCCATCTCGTCCACAGAGGTGCTACATTACCTCGCAGGCCTGGCTGCCGGCCGCTGACACCCTACGCCTGGAGGATGCTTGGGGAGGTTATAGGTGCAAGAAGCAAAATGAAAATCCATAGTTTTTAAACCTTTATGAATTGAGAATGTAAACCTGGAAAATGGACCTGGAGTTACTCATGGACAATTGGTCTGCCCAGCCCATCCATCCTCCACGTTCCCGGCCAAGGCCGTTCACATTATGCCTGGCTTCTGAAAGGGGAGCCCCGTTGCCCACCACCTCTTGTCCTTCCCTGCCCACCTCTCAGGATAAAAAGGAAAACAAAGCAGGCATAGGAAACAGACCTGCAGGGGGCCCACCAACCAGACCCCCCACCCACTTACACTATGTGCCTAGGTGAGGCCCCAGGAAGGTGCTGGCAGGAGGCAGTGACAGTGGCTTTGGAGGAGAGGCCACAGTTTCAGCCCAGTGGCTGTCAATGGGCAAAACAGAAAGTCTCATCCCTACCTCTAAATGCTGGCGTGGATCAGATCCAGCATGGAGCCACCCCTCCCCCTGAGGTCCCCTCCCCACCATGCACACGCACATAGCTGCACTATGGGGTGGGAGGGACACATGGCCCTGGGTCCCCTCTGGTGCTAGCCATCTGCACATACTGAGCATGCTGCTCTTTCAGGGCTTGGGAACACGCTGTCCTCTCTGCTGTGTCGCGAGCCACACACCTCAGGGACGCCTTTCCTGGCATGCTCCTATTTGATGCTGCCCCAGTCCCCCCTGCTGTATTTTCTCGGCAGCAGTAGCTGCAATCAGACATTTTTTTTTAACCTATTGTTTGGTTGAATACCTGACACTCCCCACTAGGATGTAAGTTCAAGAGGGCAGGGATTATTGTGTTTTGGTTGCTATTTTTTTCTAAGCATCTAGAGAAGTGTCTGGCACAGAATAGGTGAATAATAACTAGGTGTTGAATGAATCAATTTGGACATCTTGTGGGCACGATGCACTTCCTCATGTGAAGCCTCGCACTCTGGCTCTGCCCACAAGAGGGGCAGGGTCTCCTTTCTGCTCCAGAAACTCCCCCCTTGACTGCCTTCCAGTTCTTCCTTTTTTTTGCCCTGCTCTGCTTAATTCACATGCAGAATTAGTGAACTGCGTGACAGCAATTCACTGTCATGCCCACACCTTTGTCTGCTCTCTCTTTTTTTTTCTTTTTGATATTTTCAGTTATAGATGGACACAATATCTTTATTTATTTTATGTGGTGTTGAGGATCGAACCCAGTGCCTCACAGTGTGAGGCAAGAGCTCTACCTCTGAGCTACGGCCCCATCCCCAGCCCCAGCCTCTCCTCTCTTTTCTTTTAGGACAATGTTCACTAATTCACTGAAGAGACTCAGCCCCCTCTTCCCTGCAGCCCCCATCTTTCAGCAGCTGCCCTCTTTCACCCCACTGAGAATACCTGCCCACAAGTGATGCTGAGAAAATTCCCTAAAAGACAGCCTTTCCCTGCAGCCAACAGGAGACACCCCCTCACCTCTGCCCACATGAGAACAAGGAGACGAGCTCAACCCTCTGAGGATCAAACTCTGAACTCAGCCCATGATTCATGAGAGCAGAGACACACAGCCTTGAGAAGCAGAAAAAGCACAAAAGAAGTGATCTATAAATGGTAGTTTCCTTCTGCTTTGGTCTAAATGTTTGTGTCCCCCCCACCCTGAAAAAAATTCATATTTTAAAACCTAATCTCCAGTGAAATATTATTAAGAGTTTGTGTCTATAGAGAGTGATTAAGGGCAGCAATTCCCTTATAAAGTAGGCCTGAGGAAGCTTGTTTCCCCTTCTGCCATCCAAGAATATAGGTTTCAGTCTCCAGATTGTTGGCAATAAGATTCTTTTGTCTCTAAATTGCTCAGTCTAGAGTCTCTCTCTCTCTCTCTCTCTCTCTCTCTCTCTCTCTCTCTCTCTCTCTCTCTCTCTCTCTCTCTCTTTTAAGATTCCTTTTTATTTTCCACTGCACAAGTCTTGGGCAATGTTAAATCAGATGATGTATCAGTCAGGTTGAGCCACGTTGTGCTGCAGTAACAAAGGGCTATTTCTTGATTATGCTATGGTAATGAAGGCTTATTTCTTCTTCATACTACATGTTCCCCATGGATAAGGAGGAACTTTATCCTTCCCTCCACTCTGTGATGCAGGCTTATAGGAAAGACACCATCTTTAACATACCCAAGTGCAGAGAGAAAGAGAAGATATCATGAATTGACACTCTCTTAAATCTCCTACTCAGAAGTGACACAGGTATTTCCATTGGTTTTTTGGCTTGAGCAAGTCATGTGGCTACATAGAGCTTTAGCAGAGTGGCAAGTACAATTTTGCCATGTGCCTGGAGTATGAGTCAGAAATATTTGCAGGATGGCACTGACTACCTCAGGTGAGAGTTCTTCTGAGAGGGCCATATCAGACCACTGCCAATCCTTTTCCTACCTGAAGACTCTGCTTTCAGGCCAAGCCTGCTGGAGAGACCCTGAGATTCTGCTTGGGTCCCTCTACACTTACTCTGAATGTAGCTCTGGCTGCTCACCTCTCAGAGCTGCGCTGATGACTCCAGAGGCCAGCGTCTTGTGATACGGCTGCATCAGGATTGTTCACATTGGAGGGAGGCTGATCAGCCAACCAGCCCACACCTCCTGCCACTCACCTTCAGCCCTGAGCTCCGATGTAGGGTGCAGCCACCTGTCGAGTGAAGAGGAGGGCAGCCCTGTGCCCACTTCCTCCAGTGCTGGACCAGAAAGAACGGATGCCGCCTGCATTGTCACCGAACTGGCTTCAGAGGCTCAGGGCTCAGGGAAGGTAGCGAATGTCTTCTAAGCGTCAGACTTGGCTTTTGAGTTTTGCCTCTTTTCTCCTTTGTTAAAAAAGAAAAGACTGCCATGGCACATCATTTCAATAACCTCCTTTTCAGTAGCTCAAACTCTCTGGTTCCTCCGTCTTTTCAATGCTTGCCAACCTTGGATGAACCCAATTATCTGCTAGCATTCAAGTAGCTGAGGACTGTTGGGACAGTCTCTTAGTGGCACAGACTGATACCACTGTAATTTACAAACTCCAAGCTCAAATGAGCCCTCGCAGCACCCAGCAGTCCTGTGATAAACGTTTCTCAGCAGACACTCTTTCACGCTCCAAAATTCTACGTTCAGAACTCCACCATTTCTTTCACCCTTTCAAACTCTCCTACCCTCAGCTTCCCAACAGTACTCCTCGACACTTTTATCCTGGAGGAACTCTGAAATAATTTGCAGGTCTTAGGTAACTACTGTAAAAAAAAATTATTTAATTGACAGCTTGCGGTACAATAGTATGATCAGTCAGTTGGAGGTATTATAGCCCAATGAAATTGCCGTTGCACGGTTGAGTGGTGAAAAAACAGAAATGGCAGAGGCCCACAGATGCTTTGGGGATGTCAAGTTCCTTTCAAGTCAGTCTTTTAATAAGGGAAGTGAGAATACAGCAGATAAATAAGATGTATGTACAGGGCAATCGTGTCTTGGGAGGTGCCTTTTCTAAATTGTTAATGATACAAAAGCCCCTGTAGAATCTGTTTCCTGACAAGATTTCTGATGGCCTTCAACTCCTTAGCATTTCAAAATGTAGACAGGAGGGAGCACCATGGGTGATGTCAGACTTGGGACACTGGTATAAGTTACCAAGTGGGAATGCAATAATAGTTTCAAAATAAAAAATGGAGCACCACTCCTTCCTGACACAGGAAACAGTTCATGAGGGATTTTTAAAAATTGTATATATATATATATATATACATCCCATTTGACTCTTTTCCCCCTTTTTTTTCTTCATCTACATGACTGAAAAGTTACACAGGATACAAAAAGTGGCAGAGGTTCCTTGGTTGATCTGGCATGTTAGAAAAGCAAGCTTAAAAAAACTATATTCAAGTCACCAATTTAAGGTGTACAGTTCCATGGCTTTCAGTATGTTCATAGAGTTGTGCCTCCATTAGTTTTAGAACATTTTCATTACCCCCCAAAGGAGCCTGTGCATTTTAGATGTTACCTCCTAATTTCTTCATCTTTTGTCCCAAGGAAACTCACTAATCTATTTTCTGCTCCATAGATTTATTTATTTATACTGGGTGTTTCCTATAAGCAGAATCATACCACATGTGGTCTTTTGTGAATGGTTTCTTTCATTTAGCACCATGAGTTCAAGGTTCATTCGTGAATTGGTACAGTGTTTCCTCTTATTGATGAATAATGTTCTATGGAAATAAGATACTTTCAAACGAGTTTTAAAAAAACAAGTATGAGAAGGAAAAAGATCCCTACAGTTAAGAAAAGAAGGTTATAGGCATTTTAATGCCATCCTAAAGTCCTCCAGTTTGTAGGTTGACCTATAAAAACTTATGGCCTCCAGAAAGGATTCATGGAAAATTTTTAAAAAGCCTTTGGCTCAGTCTTGTTGATAAGATGGGAGCTAGGGTTGTACAATATAGGAACCACAGAGATTTGTTTAGTACTGTGTTTTATTAATATACTTAGAATTATTTATTCATTTGAAGATGAAAGGAGGAAAATATATTTGTTTCAGTGTTAATTATTAATTTTCTTAGGACTGGTTGGCTGCTACCATGACTTCACCTGTCCCCAGAGAAAACACACCTCAGTGTTGAAGGGAAGGGTATTGGGAACACTGAGACAACAATATGAAGCTATAAAGGTAAATCCATAATGCTACTGTTTGACAGTGTTGCAAAAATTCATGTGTTGGAAACCTAATCCCTAATTCAATGTTAAGAGATGGGACTTATAAGAGGTGATCAGGTGAAGCTTTCTCCTTCATGGATAGATTACCATTATTACAAGAGTGTGTTTGTATATAAGGAAGCTTGGTCCCTTCTTGCTCTAAAGGGCTCTTTCCTTTGTGCCTTCCACCATGAGATGATGCAGCCGGATGGCCCTTGCTAAATGCCAACATCTTGATATTAGACTTCATAGCGCCCAGAACTGTGAGGAAATAAATTTCTTATTTGCTTTTTTTTTTAAATAAATTCACTAGTCTTGGTCCATTTTGTCCTATAACAGCACAAAATAGACCAAGATGCTCAATCTCTATGAAAATGTCACTACTCTTGCTGTCTGCAATCTGCTGGCATATTGCATACTAAAGTCCAGACTCCCCAGTTGTACAATATGTCTGTGCCCACCAAGGCTATAGAAATCGACCATGTTCTTAGACCTAGCCCAGAGTAAAAAAATAAGAGGCTAAGAGTGGTGTTAACTGTTGATGAAGCAGGTGCTCTCAAGCCTTTGTTAAGTATGTTCCTTGAGGGTCATTGCCATTAACAGTTGTACCCCTTGCCTTGTAAATCTGAACACCCTCCCACTGCACTGAAGGCAGGGGTGACCTCCAAACACTTTACCACTGGCCTCAGTCATGTGACTTGATTTGGCCAACTGGATGTCAGCAGATGCATGAACAAGCCAGCTCAACTTCAGTGCCTGGGTGAGCCCAGCTAAGATCAGAAGATTGTGAGCTGACCCTGAGCGGGGAGCTAGCAGCAATTCCACGAACCTCATAGTTGGTCCTTTGCTGACTCCAGACATTTGTGCTTGAGCAAGTGCTTATTGTTGAATTCCACTGAAGCATGTGGTTATCGGTTACCAGCATAAGGTGATAGATAGCTGATACAGGACCTTCACAAAATCATTCTTGAGTTTACCGAGTAACCTAATTTTTACTAGTAATTCTAACATCCACCTCCTCCTTCCCTCATGAAACCCAACGTGGGTTTCTGCTTTTCTCCAACCTCATGTCATGTTCTAGTTCCTCCTGTGTTCTGCCCACAGGCTCTTCTCTCCTGTTTTATATGCCAGTGGTTCATTACACTAATTTGCTCTCCCAATCTCTCATTCCTTCGTTATACAGTATGAACCAGAGAGCAGGAAAACGAAGAAAACAGGGCGTCAGTGAATCGACTGTTCAGCTGGAAGATTGAGATATGGGATGAATGAATGAACTAGAAAATGGAAAACATTGATTGCTTTACATTTTCATCTGCTCCACTTTCATCATAGAGTGCCCTCACATCGTGGCAGGACAATCATTAACCTGTCTTAAGTACTCCCGGAGAACCTCTCAGTGATTGCTCTCATTAAAGGGTATTAACAGAGGCTGCCCAGCCGAGGGCAGGACATTCAGGAAGAAGGAGGCAGAGGGAGAGGGAGTGGGGGGCTTCCTGCCACGGCCAGCTGGGGCCCCTGGCGTTTTCACAAATGAAACTGTAAATACACTCAAATTCAGGATGTCACCAGGAGGTGATGGCTGCCTTGCCTGGGGTCAACTGTGTCTAGATGGACTTCTGTCCTGTATCCTGAGAAGGAGGACAGAAACAAGAGGCTGAACACAATCAAGAGAAAAGGAAGTGACTGTAAGAGAGGAAAGGGAAGACGGAGACCACTTTTGAGCTTTGGTTTGAACAAGAGGTGCACCCTGCCTGTGGAGACCTGGCCGGCCTCACTCCACTTCCTTGAGACTTGTTTCTGACTGTCACTGGGGACAACGAGGCTGGTTAAGTTCTGTTTCCTACAGAAGTCTCTGCACCAGGTGCTCATGTGATGCTAAGAGCTGCCTGTTGCCTGATCCACAACAGGGAGCAGAAAAAATGGGGGAAAGGGGGGAGAGAGAGAAAGAAATGAAGCATCGGGACAGAGAATGCAAGCTGGAGAGGTTCCTAACCAGATTCCAGGCCCTCAGGAGAGGGACCGGGGTCTGCTTCACCCTTGGTTGGGTTCTAAGAGTCACGCTGTGTCCTCATAATGACCTCCTCCCCTCCCCTGCTGCTCCTATCCTGAGTTGTTTGCTCTCCCAACTAGAGAACCTTAGTTAAGACAAGGGGCGTTGGGATCCAACTCATCATCTAATCATCTATTTTGCTTTCTTTTTAGTTTCTTTTCCATCTGTCTCCAACTGCACTTTCAGAACTCAAAATACTGAGATTCCCCTCTCTCAATGCCACCTGGTTGCAGAGTGGGCAGTATTATTCAGAAGTGAAATCTGTTGATATCGAAGGAAGGAAAATATTGGGGTGAATTAGTAAAAATAAAACGAGTCTGGACAGTGTGGTTAAGAAAGAGTGTGTAAGTTGATGCAGGCTGACAAGCCACAGATGGGAAAGGCTGAACTGCAGGGAGGTTTGCAATCTTCCAACAGGAGGACTGAGGGGTAACTAAGGACACCGTTCAAGTACCACCAAGCAGAATTAAGTTTTGATTAAAGGTGGCAAAGCCCATGTACTACCCAGGATTGCCCAGGCAATGAGGTTCAAACCTCCTCAGGATGAGTCTATGAGGAAGTTCATACATAAATGAAGTCAAGAGTAAGTAAAACAAGTAGAGGCAAAGTATTATGTGTCCCAGTAGGTCCACCTGGGGGAGGGCTGGCGTTGGGAGGGTCAATAGAAGACACAGAGACCAACCCACACAGATACAGCCATCTGATCCTTCATAAAGGCACCAAAAACAAATTGGGGGAAAAACAGCATTTTTTAAAAACAAATGGTGTTGGGAAAACTGGATATGCATATGTAGAAGAATGAAACTAGGTACTCTCACCCTGTCCAGTAGTCAACTCAAAATAGACCAAAGACCTAAGAGAAATTAGACCAGAAACTTTGCAGCTCCTAGATGAAAACACATAGGCAACACACGAACACATAGGCACAGGCAACAATTTCTTAAATAGACTCCCAAAGTTTAGGAAATAATTAATGGTATAACATCCAATTTAAAAAAAACCCTCTGCATAGCAGAGGAAACAAGAACATAAAGAGAGAGCATACAGAATGGGAGAAAATCTTTGCCAGCTATTCCTCTCAGGATTAATGCAAAGAACTCAAAAAGTGTAACACCAAAAAACAACCATGAAAAAGCAAATAACTCAATCAATAGACGAACTAAATAAACACTTCTCAAAAGAAGAAATTCAAATACCAGCAAATATATGAAAAAAAAATGTTCAACATCCTTAGCAATAAAGGAAATGCAAGTCAAAACTCCACTGAGATCTTATCTCACTCCAG